ATAAAAGCAAACAGACATACAAATAAGTGCTCTGTAATCTTAAGTATCAAAACAATGAAAGTAAACAAAGATTCAAGAACTACTTTATACCTGAGGACTAAAGAACATGATTTTTGAACTAAATCCTTTTGCTATTAAAGGGTATTGCTGAAACTGACAAAATTTGAATAGTTCTAGGGATTAGATGGTAGCAATGTAATAATGCAACTTCTGTATGACAGCTTTGCCATGTAATTTTGACTCTTAGAGGAAATACATGATCAAGTATTCAGCGGTCATTAGATCAACAACTTATCACAATTGATTCCAGAAAAAAAGACGGCTTCTTTAAGCCCTGGGTTCGCTTCCCAGCACAGAATAAAGCAAACCAGGGATGGAGGTACACATCTGGAATCCTGACACTTAGGTCACAGGGAGACTGAAAAGTTCAAGGTCATTCCTGCTTATTTAGTGAGTTCCAGGAAAGCCTGCACTGCCTGAGACCTCAAAGAAAAAAAAAACAGGTTGGCAAGATGGCCTGGTGAGTAACAGCATTTACTCCTGAGCCTGACAACTGGCATCTGGGCCCTAGAACCCAAATAGTGGAAGAACTAACTCCTGCAAGTTGTTCTATCACCTTCACATGTTCATTGTGACACATTAGCACATACAATTCACATTAAATAAATGTTAAAAAAAAGTAAATGAATGAATAAAGGCTGGGTCTGGGGAGATGTCCCAGTGGGCAAATTGCTTGCTGTGCAGCCTGAGAACCTGAGTTGAGATCTCTAGCAAGCTACATAAAAACTGGACATGTTAGCATGTAGCTGTGTAAAGCCAGCACTAGGAGGGCAGACACAGGTGGATCCTGGGGACCTGCTGGCCATTCATTCTAGCTGAAATGGTTTGGAGAGAGACCCTGTCTCAAAAAAGAAGATGGAGAGCAATAGAAGAAAACACCTGTTAACCTCTACATGCAATAAGACATGCATGAGCAAGGACATCTGTACACACATGTGCATATACTTCGATATTTAATATACCCTGAGACACGATATCATTTAAGTTTTGCTATGTGTACTCATGCAGGTACACATAGAGTTAAAAAATTTAACCCCAGCACTCAGGGAGGCTTAGACAGGCAGATCTCTGAGTTCAAGGCCAACCTGGTGCTGGGATTAAACTGTGAGCTGCTTGATATGAGTGTGGGGAACCAAACCTGGGTTGTCTACAAGAGCAGTAATTGCATCCTTTTTCTTTTTGGTTTTTCAAGACACGGTTTCTCTGTAGCTTTGGAGTCTGTTTTGGAACTAGCTCTTGTAGACCAGGCTGGCCTCGAACCTACAGATATCTGCTTACCTCTGCCTCCAGAGTGCTGAGATTTAAGGTGTGTGCTACTACTGCCCAGCTAGTAATTGCATTCCTAACCACTGAGCCATGAGTCCAGTTCCCATGGTATTATATTTAAAGGATGAAAATACATTTGACTAGCTGTTGCTTAGAAGGCTTGAGCGTATCTAGAATGATGAACTAAGATCACTGGGTAGAAACTAATGGGAGATAAATTTCTTTTCAGTATTGAGATCTTTGTTGCATAAATAACGTTGTGTAAAAGCTGATAAGTTCAACAGATGGATTTCAATATCTGGGGGAACACATGGGTAGGAAAGGACCATTTCCTGTAAGCTGTCCTCTGACCCCCCTCTCCCACACTGTGACACACACTCACACAAAGTAACTGTAAAAAAACTGAGTTGTCCAAAAGAAAGCAGCCATCTAGTGGGCTACTTAATGACAGTATGACTTCTCTGTCAAAGAAAAACTTTAAACAGACATTGGAGGTGTGTTGTAGTGGTGCGTGTATATAACCCCAACACTTTAGGGGTAAAGACATAAGGATCAGGAGTTAAGGGTCAGCTTCTGCTACATAACTATCTAAAGGTCAGCCTGGGATAAATGAGACCCTGCCACAAACAAGACACTGTAAGTTCATCTAATTGCTATAGCAAGGCAGGAAATCCAAGCAGATAAAGAGGAGGAAAGAAGGTGGAGTCAGGCTGACACCACGTAGCCACCCAAGAAGCAAGGGGTAACAAACTAAGAGCCTCGTGGTAAAATATAAAATACAAATGGGTTAGTTTAAGGTATAAGAGTTAGATAAGAAGCCTGAGCTAATAGGCCAAATGGTGTTGTAATTAATACAGTTTCTGTATGATTATTTGGGTCTAGGCAGCCGAGATGCAATGTATTTTATAATTGGAAAGACTAATATGATACAGTTCTAATTTTTAAATGAACAGCTGGTGAGGTCTGCACAAAGTCCCAGCATGGATACTCATGAAGTCCTGCACTTAGCTGAGGAATTACCAGCAACTGATGGGAGCTCAATGGAGGAGGAACAATCATTTTTCTTCAGGGATGTGACCTGCAGAAGCTACCCATGCTCTATAAGATGCATCTACATACTGGCAACACTAAACATTCTCTGTGTTCAAGAAAAAAAAGAGAGAGAATATGTGCTGGAAATAGGGGACGGACTGGAGGGGAGGAGATGGGAGAAGAACTGATAAAGCTGATATGCTTGTATGAAATTCTCAACTAATTAAATAATTGAAAGGAACTCAGGACCGCGAGGGGTGCACCCACACACTGAGACAATGGGGATGTTCTATCGGGAACTCACCAAGGCCAGCTGGCCTGGGTCTGAAAAAGCCTGGGATAAAACCGGACTCTCTGAACATAGCGGACAATGAGGACTGCTGAGAAGTCAAGAACCATAGCACTGGGGTTTTGATCCTACTGCGCGTACTGGCTTTGTGGGAGCCTAGGCAGTTTGGATGCTCACCTTACTAGACCTGGATGGAGGTGGGTGGTCCTTGGACTTCCCACAGGGCAGGGAACCCTGATTGCTCTTTGGGCTGACAAGGGAGGGGGACTTGATTGGGGGAGGGGGAGGAAAATGGGAGGCGGTGGCAGGGAAGAGACAGAAATCTTTAATAAATAAATAAATTAAAAAAAATAAAAAAATTGAATAACCACTGTACTAAAACAATTAGACATCTCTCAGGTTCTACTTCTCTTTGGAATCTTGCTAATAAAGTCTTTGCTTCTGCAAGAAACTGGCCACGATATTCAGGGGCTTAAAAAAAAACTATCTAAAAAATTCTACTCATCATTCAATACCTACCTCAAAAGTTCTCTATGCTTGGACCTTCACCTAAACTCCCCGAAAAGGAGCTAGTGGCAGCCTTCGACTTGTCATAGGTACTTCGTAGGAAAGCAGCAAAACGTCTATAGTAGGCTTCACTGTGTGTGTTCCTACAATGCTACACATTAAACTGGGTCTCGCTATGTAGCCCTGGCTGGTCCTGAACCCAGTATGTGTAGACCAAACGGGCTGGCCTTGATATTTACAGAGATCCACTTTCCTCTGCCTACCCCTGAGTGCTAGGATTAAATGCATGCACCATCACATCCATTTCTGGCTATATTATAAACCAGATTGGGCTATAACAAACTCGGGGTGGGGGGGGAGAGAAAAGAAAAAGAAAAATCACGAAAACCATTTTAAATAGGTGCAAAACTTTAGGTTTTTTTTCTATGTATTCAAACTCACTTATGTAGTCATCTACCTGTTCTCTGACCTTTCTGGACTTTGAACTCCTTTAGAGCCCAGAGGCTATATTATCTGAATACTGAGGCTTTTCACTCCAGCAGGTTGGCATACCATCAGAACCAACAAATTTATATTGTTTTGTGTGTCTGTGAGACAGAGTTTGTTTTTTGGTGTGTGTGTGTGTAGCCCAGATAGGCTGGAACTCAGAGATCTGCTTGCCTTTGCTTCTCAAACACTGAGATTAAAGGCATGCGCCACTATACTCCGAGGGCTGAGCTGGCCCTCTAGTGATCCCACAACAACAAAAAAACATGCCTAGGTCAAAGATAAACAGCATGGTCTAAAACTGGCTTCAAAGGTAAAAAGACTGAAAGATTTTCACAAATTTTACTAGGCTGTGAGCTTTTTTTTTTTTAAAGGAAGGAGTCTGCTTCAGCCGTTCCTATCTGTAGTGCCTATATAACCACACAATACATGCTCAAAAAAACAGTGAATTAAACAGCCTCACCTTTAAATATGCCTTTTATGAGTGGAGCTACTGCTGTATTAAAGACCTCTTCCTGCTCAGTAGAGGGGTCAAACACAAAATCGTAGGTAAACGATTTATCATTACCAACCACCACCTGAAAAAGGCAAAAGATAGGCATTGGGGGTGGTGAGAACTAAAACCCAGACCACGCCCCCAGCTGCCTTTCAGCTCCAGCTGGGGCGAGCTAAACTCTTACCCACCTGAGGCTCTCCAGGTACGAAGGACAGGCACGTCTGGCAGCCCTCACTGATCTCTTTGGAGACCAGGGGGCGACAACGCAGTGCCACCCTCACAGGAATTCCCTTCACCTCTTCTTTCATGGTAGCAGCTCAGCAGGCGTCCACGCGGAGTGAAGGCGGCTCTCCGGCTCTCCGAGGGGGCACCGGAAGCTGGCAGGAGTGGGAAGGCCCTGAGGCCGTAGGGGCTCTGGGAACTCGGCAGGGCAGCCTCCCTCCCAGCAAGATCACAGCCCTCCCGTCACTCACACTCGGCCACAGCCTAAAGGTCGGTCAGTCTCAGCACTGCGGTGTCTGAAATAAAAAGGAAAAAAACCCTCCAGCTCAGCCGGCGACCTCGCCAAACCCCTAACGTACTAGAAAGGGCAGCGTCTGAGCTACCGCGGCCCGGTAACTCACCAAACTAAACGTCCCTTTCCCGGATCTTCCCTGGCGCCCTGTTCCAACTGGAGCTGTAACCGCCAAGTTTCAAATTGAGCCTGGAGGCGCCAGCCAATCGCAGCGCAGACAGCCGGGCCGGGAACCTGCATGTGAGCACGCACAACGTGACTCCAGCGAGGGCTTGGGAACCAGCTGGCTGCAAGCGAGCTCCGCCCACGCTCGCTGGTAGCCAGCATCCGCTTCCGGTTCCCGGGCCGAATTGGCCGCGAGCCAGGGCGCCGCGGAGGGAGGCCTGTTTGCCGGTGAGGTGGTGCTGCGATAAGTGGTCGTGAGCGCGGGCTTCGGGCGGGAGGCAGGACCTGGATCTGGAAAGGAGCCGGTGCCTACGGAGTCCATCTGTGGACGGCGCGTTTACTAAGCACCTCTAGAGAAGGTGGGGCGGCGCCTTGCCCCAAGCCCTATGGGAGAGAGTTGGCACTCCCTTGCTGTTTTAAAGTAGATCTTTGTAGCTGCGTTCTAATTTCCCCTTCTCTGGGTTGAAGGCGACGACACCGATATTTCTAGAACTGTGAGAAATAAGAACATGCCATTCGAGTGCTTAACAAGGTGCTAGGCATTTAAATATTTAGAAAAGTTGATAAGGTTTTTTTTTTGCCCCCTTGTCCCCTCCCAATCTCAACACGTCCATGCTGCTAGGCCCATAAATGGATGGCCTTAGGGTGGAACGCTTTCTGAAACAGAGAGCTTAGTCCTTTGAAAATCATTTTGTTTGATTTCTCCTTTTCAGGGCTTTGCCTGAAATGGATACCCGGATCCCTTATGATGATTACCCAGTGGTTTTCCTGCCTTCCTATGAGAATCCCCCAGCATGGATTCCTCCTCATGAGGTGGGAACCATCCTCGTCCCTGAATAGGGGATACCTACCTCCAAGTATGAGATCTATGAAAGATAACGTAGCAAGATCGTGCAGCTGAATGGAGAGTGAATCAAGGGGTGAATTTCAAATGGGGACCCCTAGGAGACTTCTTGTAGTATCATCTTTCCAGGACCTTTCACGCCAGTGAATGCCGAAAACTAGGAATCATAGTTTCCATTCTGTCAATAAAATAGTGATCTTTGGGGCTGCTAGCGGGTCCTGAGGCTGAACATCTCATTTAGACTGTGGTATCTGTTTCGTAGAAACTGAGTCTGTGACTTTCTCACTTCCTAGCCCTAAGTTAGCTGGTTTATTGATGTTCTAGAAGAAGGTAGGTGTAATTAAGATTGGCAGTAAGATTTCTGAGGTTGCTGTGTCTTGCAGAGAGTGTACCACCCAGACTACAACAATGAATTGACCCAGTTTCTGCCACGAATCGTCACACTGAAGAAGCCCCCTGGTGCACAGGTAAACTTATAGAAGCTGCTAATCTCACCTACATTTGGCCATGCCAGAGGTTGGACTTGGTTGGGGCTTGGATGTGAATTGGGAAGTAGGTGGCCAGAAAAGCTGGTGCTTCCGTAGTTTCTCATTTTCTTCTGAGTACACTGATGTTCCTACGTATTCTTGTGTCTGTGATCTTGTCTTACAGCTGGGATTTAACATCCGAGGAGGAAAGGCCTCACAGCTAGGCATCTTCATCTCCAAGGTCTGTGCATGAATGTGTGTGTGGCAGGCTGTATGGCTAGCTACTTCCTTTTAACAAAGGGAATTTATTAAAATACACTGGTGCCCCAATAGCTGGAGAATGGATGACCGGTGGAGTCATAGAATGGGCATAACAGGAACTCACCCTTTCCTTCTCAAAATTGCATTTGGGTCAGGTGTGGTCAGTAATCTGAGGACTCCAGAGGCAGAAGCGGGAAGGTCAGGAGTAGGCAATAAGAATCTATAAAGCAGGCTAGGTGGTGGTGGTGCACACCTTTAATCCAAGCACTCTGGAAGCAGAGGCAGGTGGATCTCTGAGTTTAAGAACAGCTGGGACCAAACAACAAAAAAAAGAATCTATAAAGGCAACTGTATGCCTTTTATCCCAGCACTCGGGAGGCAGAGGAGGTGAATCTCTGAGTTCAAGGCTGCCTGGTGTATAGATCAAGTTCCAGCACTACACAGAGAAACCCTGTCTCAAAAAAGAACCATATATATATATATATATATATATATATATATATATATATATAAAGCCAAAAACAAATTGAGAAGCAGATTTCATTTGGCAGCCCGCTGATTTCCCAGTAGTGCCACAGAAAATGGCACACTTGAGCAACCCTGAATTTCCCCTGCCATCTCCCTGGAATTACTCCATCTCAGTTACGTGTATTATCCCTTTACTAACAGGTCATTCCAGACTCTGATGCACATCGAGCCGGACTTCAAGAAGGGGACCAAGTTCTAGCTGTGAATGATGTGGATTTCCAGGATATTGAGCACAGCAAAGTAAGCATAGCACATGGGCTATAGTCGTATAAGAAGCCATCTCAGGTAGGACAGGCCGGACGGGATTAGCCTTATCTGTAAGAAAGCATCTCTTCAAGGGAAATGCACCAGAAGAGAGCAACTCTCGGTGACCTAGATGTTTGAAGTGGCAGATTACATTCCTTTGGTATGTTTCTGTCCTGGGTAACCTCTCATCATTTGTACAAGCTGCTGTGTTCCTTCCAGGCTGTTGAAATCCTGAAGACAGCCCGAGAAATCAGCATGCGCGTGCGCTTCTTTCCTTACAGTAAGACAACTTTTTTTTTCCTTACATGGCAGGGCTCTAGGTACATAGAACTCTTTTTAATATGGAGAACAGCAAACCCTGGAAGTTGGGAATAGGGAAATTGGGAGCTCAGCCCGAAAATAATGTGGTGTGTTCTTTCTTACCCCAGATTATCATCGCCAAAAAGAGAGGACTGTGCACTAGAGGCTTGCAGCCCATAGCCCTCCATGTGGAATCTGCCCGAGCAGGCTGGCTAGCCCTCTGAGACGCAGTCAGGAAACTCTACTCTCAGTGCCTTCCTGACTTTGCGGGTGGGGAGGATGGGGAGCAGTTTACCAGCTGCGATCTATATCAACTGTACTGTCCTTGGAGTTCCCCTAGTTTCCTGGGTGAGTTTCATTCTGGAAAAGGAGAGAGCTGGTGATGTTTGTAGCCTGTGTGGAAAGCCAGCTGGAAAGCAACTGGCATTTATCAGGTACCACAGATGGGTCATTTAGCATTTTATTTGTAGAAATCAGAAAGAGAATCTGGGGACCTTCCATCTGATTTGCCTAGCCATGCACCTAGTCCTTGTACATATACTTTGGAGTCCCATACACTTGGGAGACTCTGAAGAGACACTGGTTTTGCCCCTTCCTCCTCATCCCCCTAAAGTAAAAACACAGTACCAAACAAATGTGGCTTGAGTGATACTATATGAATATAAAATACCACTGAGTAAAAAAACCTACAACAACCAAACATTGAAAGGAACAGCAACATCAAACCTATTTTATTATTTTTTTTTATTAAAAATTTCTGCCTCCTCCCCGCCTCCCTTTTCCCTCCTCCTCCCCCCACTCCCCACGCCCCATGCATCAAACCTATTTTACAACTATCTGTGTCTGGCTAGAATACTTGGGAGGTTAAAGAACCTTAGCTGTAGAATAACCAAGGGATGCCTAGGGTCAAGGACCCTGCAGGCTAAAACTGCCCCTTCTCCAGGAGTGTTAGGCTGTCTGCTACAGGGGCTGGTATCAATATATTCTCCTTTTCCATGTTCTCTGATCTGGAACTTAAACCAGGAAAGTAGCATGGATACACTGCTCACAAGCAGCAGTAGGAAACTGGTTCGTGATTTCCCACTTGTAGTTTGAGTAGAGCTAACTGCCAACTTCCTCCTTTTTCTGACCCCACCCCCAAATAACTTTTTGTCATCGTAGATATTTAGTGACTGACCATTAGATACTACAGAAATCACATCTATGCAGTCTCCACTGACATCAAAATACCATTCAGAATTTAAAGTTTTTTTATTTCCTCTGAAGAAGGTGCTACAGCAATGAAAGCCCAAATTTTGACTTAAAAATCCCACAGAGAGTCATCAAGATGGCTCTCTGGGTTGACAATCTGAGTTCGACCCCTAGGATCCACATGGTGAAAGGAGAGAACTGATTCCCAAAGTTGTCTGTTGCCCTCCACCTGCAGGCTTTGGCATGCAAGCACATTGCAAGAATCCTGGGGAGCTGAACTGAATCTCTTAATTCCTTCTGGAGAGTGAATCTTTGGTTTGTGGGAGAACTAGAAATCTACCTATTTAAATAAACAAGTTAAATCAATTTTTCAAATGGATGACATGCAGAAACTGGCTCTTCCCATGAATCCTACCCCAGCTATACTAAAAGTATTGCTCGAGGCTCAGTTCTGTTATTGGCACCGTACCTTCTGAACAGAGCTGGAGGTAGAATTAGTTTGTCTTCCTGAGAAATCTTCTAATTTGCTCTGCTGACCCCCAGTGGCCATCTGAGAAAGAAAAGCATGGACATTTCTGCAAAACCTATTAGCTGAGTCTACCAAACAATGTTAAAGTCAAGACTCTACGTGGTTAAGAAATTTGTGTTGAGTTTTTTTCCCCCTGAGACAGGTTCTTGCTACATAGTCCAAACTGGCCTTGGACTCAGGATCTTCCCATCTCATCCTCTGAAACTCAGAGATCACAGGTGTACACCACTACACCCAGCTGTGTTTAACAAGTGTGTGTGTGTGTGTGTGTGTGTGTGTGTGTGGTGTGCATGTGTGTGTGAAGGTCCAGGGGTGTGTGCTTGGATATAAAGGTCCAAATCAACTATTTCCTCAATCACTTTCCACCTTATCTTTTGGAGACAGTGTCTCTCACTGAACCTGAATCCTTTTATTTGACTGGCCTGTTTGGCAAGGAAGTCCCAGGGAGCTTCTTCTCTCTGCCTCCCCAGTGCTGGGATTACAGGTATGTGCTGCTACATCCAGGATACCTTTTTTTTTGAGACAGGGTCTCTATTATGTATCTCTGGCTGTTGTGGAACTTACTGTGTAGACTAGGCTGGCCTTGAGCTTGGAGAGATTCACTTGCCTCTGCTGGGATTAAAGGTATGTGCCACTATGACAGACTAAACGTCCAGCATTTTAACTGCACTGTGGGGTTCAAACTCATGTCCTCATGTTTGTGCAGCTAATACTTTACTGACTTAAACATCTCTGTAGCCTCCAGTTGAGATTACTCCTCACCACTAATTTATTAATTCATTACTCACGTTTTACATCTAAGGTACAGGGAACATTGCAGAAAAGGGAGGGGGATGGCGTGGAAATATGTCAGAGCCAGAGGATAGATAGGAGAGCTTTCTTCTGTCTCCTGGATATGACATAGCCTTGTAGTCACAAACACACCACAGCTATGGCTACCTGCATAAGAACTTTTGAGATTTGTATGATGAGCTAGGGGGAAGCCGATAGAAGCTTCTTTTTTATTATTATTATTTATTTATTTAATAAAGATTTCTGGCTTCTCCCCATCACCACCTCCCATTTCCCTCCCCCTCCCTTACTTAGACCTGGAAGGAAGTGGGAGGTCCTTGGACTCCCCACAGGGCAGGGAACCCTGACTGCTCTTTGCTGACAAGAGAGGGGGAGTTAATTGGGGGAGGGGGAGGGAAATGGGAGGCGGTGGCGGGGAGGAGGCAGAAATCTTTAATAAATAAAAAAGTTTCTTGTAAAGATCTTGCTCTAGAATAGCATTTGTCAACATGTAGGTTACGACCCCTTTGAGGTGTTGACCAACCCTTTCACAGGGGTCACCTAAGACCATCAGAAAACAGACGTTTACATTATAGTTCATAACAGTAGCAATATTACAGTTTATGAAGTAGCAATGAAGTAACAAAATAATTTTATGGCTGGGGTCACTATAACAGGAGGAACTGTATTAAAGGGTTGCAGCATTAGGAAGCTTGAGAACCACTGCTTTAGGACGAGGTTCACAGGTATTCATTATTTTAATTTTACTAATGTGATTATTGTTCTAAATAAGATTCTTCAAGGCCCAGTAGAGTGCCGCTGAGCTAGATTTCAGGTTAAATTTTATTTAATGTAGGTGGCTTGCGGGAAGCTTGTGAACCTGGCCTTTTAGTCATCAATGAAAATAGATAGGGCACTCTGTGTCACTGAGTAGTTAGGAGATGGAGTAAAAGGAGCTGACTACTTCTGGGAGCTGCTTTATTTTAAGTATAGGAGTTGGAAGAGAGTATTAAAACCATAACCCAGCCAGGTGTGGTGGTGCACACCTTTGACCCCCAACACTTAGGAGACAAAGGCAAAGAGGATATCTGTGAGTTCTAGGTCAAACTAGTCTACACAGCAAGCTCCAGGACAGCCCGGACTAGATAGAACAGTGGTTCACAACCTTTGACCCTTCATACTGTTCCTCATGTTGTGGTGACTCCCAACCATAAAATCATTTCCATTGCTACCCCATAACTAATTTTGCTACTGTTATGAATTATAATGTAAATATCAGTTTTCCTGTGGTCTCAGGTGGCCCCTGTGAAAAGGTTGTTCAACCCCTTCCAAGGGGCCACAGCCCACACATTGTGAGCCACTGACAATAGAGAGACCCTGTCTCAAAAACAAATAAACCAGCTGGGCAGTGGTAAAACATGCCTTTAATCCTAACACTTGGGAGGCAGAGGCAAGCAGATCTCTGTGAATTCAGGGTCATCCTGGCCTACAAAATGAGTGCCAGGACTGTTACACAGAGAAACCCTGTCTCAACAAACAAAACCACCATCACCTTAGGGATGGGAAAGAATAACTGCTATGGGAAACCCAAACACAGTGTCTACCAAATTGGGCAACGATGACCTAAGCCATAGATGGGGAAAGGGGTTTTGATGCCTGAATTCTGAAAATTCTCAAGTCAGTTTTTAGCCCCTAAGTTTTATGAGATGGTAGGAGAGTTGAGGAGATGAGTCCAGTCTCCTAGGGACAACTAGTAAAAATGAGGAGTTCTGACCACATGGTTTTTACTTAAAGTCAAACGAAGAAGCTACCTTTGGCTAAAGTTAGTTCTGTTTTCCTTTACCACTAAGCAGAAAGTTTGTCCTGGCTTTTAACACTGAGTGAAGCTTGCTGCTCTGCTTTCACTCTCCCTACCCCTGGAAAAGCTAAGAAAAAAAGATGTGCCCCTTTTCCAGGAGTAGAGGTGAAGCCATTTATGAAAGGAAGGGCAGAAACTGTACTGCAAGTGCTGCTGCCTTAGTATATGGATAGTGCAAGCAATTTTTAAAAGTTCAGAGAGTAAGATGATTTTGTGCTTTCAGACTGTATGATGGGAGGATGAACCTTGCCTCCTCGCTGTCATAGGGCAATATAAGGTTATCTAAGTGGTGGTGGGTAAGTAGAAAGTGCAAAGGATGTCTCAGAAAGAGAAATGGTGTTGTGTTTTTCACACTGCAGCTGGTTTTGGCACTGGTCTCAATAAACTTCCCATTGAATTCAATTATTGTTCACCCTCTTCTGCAGAGATTTGCCTAGCTAAAGGAGGATAGTAAAGGGACCAGATAACAGAAACCTGTAGTGAGCTTAACTCCTTTACATATGGTGATGCCAGGAGCACTAGAAGCCTTGGACCCATGACTTTCTGTTCCAACCTAGTTTCTGTTCCCCCATATAAACAGCACAGTAGGCCCTCCATGTGAGGATTGGACTTGAGGTGTGCAGACCAACAAACCTTACTATTTGTTGTTCAGAGCAGTCATATACCACACTGGTGACACTTCTTTCTGCCCATACATCTAGTACTTGTCTCTGTGAAAGGCCAACCATTGTGTTTTCTTCAGAGACCCCTCCACCGTCAACACATGCCAATGGGTACCACAAGAGAGACTCATCCTAGAAGTCGCCTCCCCATTCCATTCCATAGTATTCTTAGCTTCTTATCCTAAAGCCCATTCCAGACCAGAAACATGAGCCTGGCTTTGCATAGA